TCTGTGAGTTTGAGGCCAGCCTGGTCTACAGAGCAAATTACAGGACAGGCTCCAAAGCTACACAGAGAAACCCTGTCTTGAAAAAACAAAAACAACAAAGAAACAAAAACAAAAGCAATTTGGGGACGAAAGGGTATGTTTCATCTTACAGGTTAGAGTTTGTTATAAGGGGAAGCTAAGGCAGGAACTAAAGGCAGGACAGTGGAACAGAAAAGGAAAGAAGCAGAGGCCACAGAGGACCTCCAACTGCTGGCTTGTTCATCTTGACAGGCCCATCTGCCTAAGATGGCATTGCTCACAATACCTAAATCTATGAGCAGCTAGGGAAATGTCATACAGGCATGCCATCAGCTCATTCTGATCTGGGCAGTTCTTCCATTGAGGTTTCCCCTTCCCAGGTAATTCTAGGTTGTGTCAAATGACAGCTGAAGCTAACCTGTACCAGATGGTGGCAGGACTTAAGTCAAAACTCAACATTTGTCATATTGATATACAAGCAATGGTGAACAACTAGAAATCCACAGTTTCTTAAGTGATACTTTACAATCACATACAATTTTTTGAGCTGGTGTAGTGGTGCAAGTCTTTAGTCTGCACTTGGGAAGTAGAGGTAGGAGACTCTCTGGAGCTGAGTCTGGTCTACGTAGCAAATTTCAGGCCAGCTAAGTGACACTCTGTTTCAAAAAATAATTAAAAAATATAAAATCTAAGATAATGCATGCAAAGTCTATATCCCAAAAGCAAACAAATAAAAAGGAAACCTGAAAAGTGGAATAAAGAGAAAGACTTGAAAATCCCTTATCTACAAAAAAAATCACTGGTTCTCAAGATAACACACAGGTTTTCCATGAGCCAAATCACATTACACAGAAGAATTTATGTTTCAAGAGACAGACAAACTGATATTACTTTTGCTGTGGGAAATAAACTAAATTCACACAACTTGAAAAAGAACAGGGCTTGGGGATTCCTATTGCTGTATCTCATGATTTACTAGGAAGTCACAAAAGGTTAACAAAAGTGTAGACACACACTCAATTCACCTGTTTGTCCACTCACACATGACCAGTGGATGTGAGGCAGAGTTGCCCAAGCAATTCAATGGGAGATTATAATTTTTCAACAGTCATGATAATTAATAACCCTCTTAAAACACCCAACACAGCATAGCTTCACATTATATACAAAGGTAACTCAAAGAAAAACAGATGTAAGAAGAAAAGTTAAAATGATAAATTTCTAGGAGAAAAAAAAATAGGAATTTTTTTCCTGTTCAAGAAGTCAGTCAGTTTATCTCTAAAAGAACATAACCCATGCTCTCTTCTTTGTGCATTAAACTGCTCATTTAATGTGTGCATCAGAAGGCAGAGAAAGAAAGCAAACAAAAACTTAAAGTTATATATAGCTTATGGTATAGAAAATGAGGGAAAAATGGAGGGTTTTTTGTTGTTTTGTTTTTTTCTTTTTTTTAATCAATTTTTATTTGAATCAGAAACAAGATTGTTTTGCATGACAATCCCAGTTCCCTCTTCCTTCCGTCCCCCCCTACCACCCCCTCCAACTAAAACCCTACCTATCACATATCCTTTTTTCTATTCTTCCTCTGACCCAACCTTTCTGCTCCCTCATGACCTCTGCATCCCTCCTCTTCTTCCCTTCTCATTCTCATAGCTCCCTCCCCCCTCTTCCCGTGCTCTCAATTTTCTCAGGGGATCTTGACCCTTTCCCCTTCTCCAGGGGACCATGTATGTCTCTCTTAGGGTCCTCCTTGTTTACTAGCATCTCTGGCAGTGTGGATTGTAAGCTGGTAATCCTTTATGTCTCAAATATGAGTGAGTACATATCATGTTTGTCTTTTTGTGATTGGGTTACCTGACTTAGAATGGTTTCTTCTAGTTCCATCCATTAGGAATACGTTTTTTGATCTTAGATTAAGCAAAGATTTTGTAGCAACAGCAACCCAAGTATTATCAAAAACACTTTTTAAATTACCAGTCATATTTTATTAAAATTCAAAAGGTGTCCTCTTCAAATATTTGCTTAAAAAAAAACAGGACAATGAGGGAAAAGGGAAGAGTCTAATTGCAGTGTAGAGGGAAGAATAGGAGACACTAATGGGGGAAGAAGAATGACTGTCATGTTTCCTTTCATGTGGATACAGATTTAAATATGCGCGTATGTACGTATGTATGACCTGTATATGTGTACATAAGCATATACATATATGTATGTGTACACACACACACACACACACACACACACACACACACACACACACACACCACCTGAAAATAAAAAAAGAGTGTGTCTTCTCTAAAACTAATAAGTTAATAAAACAAACAAAAACATTCAAGGGGAAAAATGTAAAGAGAGCCTCTGCAGGCCCATTTCCCAAGTCTGGGAAGGATGTAAACAATAAATTCTTAGCACATGCCCCTAATGAGGACTTCTGAGGACTCAGCCCAAGGGGCACTCTAACTTGGCAACGATCTTTATGGAAAGCTGGATCTCAAGGGATGGAGGGTCTGCTTATTAGTTTCCAACCATCCAAGCTTGACCAGAGGGAGCCACGTGTTTCCTCGGTGAGGAAAGGCCCCTCACTGTGACTTCTGGTCCTCCAGGGTCCAAGCACGGAATCTGCGCAGAGATGGGGACTCTGTGAAGACCCTGACAGCAGCAGAGAAAGGCAAGTGAGGGGGGTGGGGAAGCAGTGACGGAGGGCACCTTCATTCCAACAGCAGATGGATTCATGTAGACTCAAACATGTGGAATGATATTGAGAAAACAAAGACAGACCTACCCAGGTCCTCTGCATTTGACCAAACTCAAAGGAGAATAAGTTTGTTCTCCCTGATACATGCCAGCCCTTTTCTGTCAAGGAGCACCCCCCTCCTTGCTTGGAGTACAGCAAAAACATGCCCAGGGCAGAAACAGAAAAGTCCAAATTGCTAAACATAGCTACCAGCAAGCATGGCTAGAAGCCAAGAGCCTCAATTCCCTATACACTTGGATATCTCAGGCATACAAGGCAGCCTTAGCCATCCTCTCATCTCTGTGTTTGTGCCCATTGTTTGCCCTCTTTTATCCTCTTTAGTGCCAACTATATAACATAGTGTCTCAGAGTCAGGCTACTTAGACATCCTGCCCAGCCCCATAGAGGGGTGTTGACTTGGACCTAAACCCAAGGATTAAACAGACTTAATTTTATGGTCCAGGATCACAATGCTGCAGTTACGCCAGTGTCTCATATAGATACACATTATCTCAGCTCAAGAGATAATGGATGAAGGCAGAGTGAATGCAATGAAGTCACATAGAAACACTATCTCCCAGTGAGGAGGCTGTGGAGGTGGTGGTGGTGCAGAATTCTACTACAGGGCATGCCCAAATAACCCAAAATGACCCAATCATTGAGAGGAGTTGGGTCCAGGAGGTGCTGTGGTGTGTGACTTCCTATGGAGGGTCAACTTACTCAGGGTTTAAACCCTAAAATGATAATATATGTTCCAGCAACAGCCTCCTGCAGCCAATTCTTACATCAATAGAGATGCTATACCAAGATCATCTGGGCTAGTGGCAGTCCCACCTGATTTTCAACCACAAGAATCCTCCCTTGAAATCCTACTATCCTTCTCTATCTCTGATTGCACTATGGGATCTGTCCAGAAGACCAGAAGCTAATGTATACCGACTAGTACTCTCCTGTGTGTGTGACGTCACCTATCACCCTCATCTTTCAATTTCTTTAAAAAATATTATTAGGTTTATTTGTGTGTAAGAGCACGTGTGCACATGCCATGGTGCACATATGAAGGTCAGAGAACAACATGTAGAAATTGGCCCTCGCCGTCTATCACATGGGTCCTGCTGATTAAACTCAGGTCGCTGGGCTTGATGACAGACATTTTATTCACTGAGTCTTCTCCCTGGCACACTAAGGAGCACACAGCCATGTTCCAGCTTTTTCTAGCACTCCCCACCTTATCTCAGGTCTGGATATTAGTCCTGGACAGAAGACTTCATATCTCAGCACTTGGGCTTAATTTCCCTGGTGTGACTCCCATCAGTGGTTGACTCATGACTTTCTGAGTGTCTGCACACTAGCCAGTTCTCTCAAAATGTTCACTAGAGCACCCTCTGTCCCAGCAGGCACACACAACCATCTTTCCCTCTTGCCTTTCCCCAGGCCTCTGGTCACTGAGGGACCAGCTCCCCTCTCTCCCTATTTATGCACCCCAAGTCTTTACAGAGACGCATCATCACCCACAGTTTTCAGCTGCCTCCCTTGACTGCACTGGTTTCTTAGTCCTGAAGTTTATTTTTAGTCTGTAAATCTCTTTCTGGAAAGAGAAAAACAATCCAGTTGCTTCAGGTGTCTGCCCTTCCCCTTCTGACTGCAGGAAGGAGGACGAATGCCTCTTACACAGCTCAGTGAATCCCAACAGCTGCCAGACAACAACTTAAAGGCAGGTAAGACTCTGAACAAAACTGTTAATCTGGCCTCTTGATTCCACAAAGACTCCAGTTTCTGAAAAAAAAAATGAGAAAAGGCGCAGATAAAATTCTCAGGATTCTAGTGGGCATCAGTTGTAGTATCTACTTCCGGGTTAATTTTTAAATACATGACAGTGATTTAAAGCATAGCATAAAGAAACAACTACAACACAACATGTCCACTGATTTAATGCAGTCACTTTCATTAGTTCTGTGAATTTGGATAAATCATTCCATTGTCTCAAGCTTCCGTTCTTTCACTCATAAAGTGCAATATAATGCCACAGTTATTTAGGCTAAGGAAAGGTTTGCACAGGAGTGAACAAGAACACAGATATTGTAATAAAACCTTATTAAAACTAACTAGGCTTTTCCGTAAAATTACTCAGACCACTCAGTTTTAGTAAATTCTCAACCAACAATTAAACTCTTCCAGATTCATGATGTTTTTCCTTAAGTGTTGACATCCAATCTTATCTCGAGATTGACCTTTCTCCCCCATAGATATGGACAGAAAGAACCAGACAACAGCCACAGAATTCCTCCTCCTAGGACTTGCTGGGCAATCAAAGTAAGAAGAGGTTGTTTTGGGGTTGTTCTTGGGGATGTACATGGTCACCATCTCTGGGAACCTTCTCATCATCCTGGCCATCTGCTGTGACCCTCATCTCCACACACCCATGTACTTCTTCTTAGCCAATCTCTCCAGTGTCGACATCTGCTTTTCTTCAGTCACCATCCCCAAAGCGCTGGTGAATCATGTGTTGGGAAGCAAGTCCATCTCTTACACGGAGTGTATGACCCAGATCTATTTCTTTATCACATTCATCAACATGGATGGCTTCCTCCTGAGTGTGATGGCCTATGACCGCTATGTAGCCATTTGTCACCCACTCCACTACACCCTGATGATGAGGCCCAGACTCTGTGTCCTTCTGGTGGTCCTATCGTGGGTCATCACGAACCTTCATGCTCTCTTGCACACTCTCCTCATGGTTCGACTCACCTTCTGCTCCCACAATGCAGTGCGCCACTTCTTCTGTGACCCCTACCCTATCCTGAAGCTCTCTTGTTCTGACACCTTCATCAATGACCTGATGGTTTTCACCGTGGGTGGAATGATATTCCTGACACCATTTTCATGCATTGTTGTTTCCTATGTTTACATTTTCTCTAACGTCCTGAAGATGCCCTCTACCCGTGGGATAAAGAAAGCCCTGTCCACATGTGGGTCTCACCTCACTGTAGTCTCTCTCTTCTATGGGGCAATCCTGGGGGTCTATATGCGTCCTTCGTCCTCCTACTCACTACAGGACACGGTAGCCACTGTCATCTTCACAGTGGTGACACCACTGGTCAATCCCTTCATCTACAGCCTGAGAAACCGTGACATGAAAGGAGCCCTAAGAAAGATAATTCTCAGATGTTAGAATATGAAAATTTTAGAGCTGAAAGGACTCCAGGACACCATGCATCTGTTCATCTTTTCAGAGAAAGCAATGCGTAGAGTGGTATAGAATTAATGCATGACTTTTCCCGTGACTAATAAATGATCATGTTGTGTTTGTAAATCTCATTCTGGCAGATGCTCATTTTCATAAAAGCAGCAATTTGTCTCTGAAAAGGTCTTATTCTGAGGGGCTCATTTCAAAGACAAGAAACCCTGGGACAACTGGGTGTACTGTGGCTTGAGGTGCCCTCCCTGTGTGTCAGAGGCCTGTTCCCACAATACCCTGGGGGCTTTTACAGGACTTTAGAGCTGACCCCCTTCTCTGATCTCTCTCTGGACTCTAATGAGGAACATCTAGTTCACCTGTTGGTGGGGAAATGGCCAGTTTTTCTCTGTTCCCAGGCTTAAGCATCTCTTCTACATTTCACAGCTCAGAATGCACCCTTTGCAGACCCTCTGGTCCCCTCATGCCCTGTTGGCCTTTCCCTCCTCAGTATGGGCACCAGCCTGGGATGATGCCACTCATGGATGGATACTGGAAGCTGTAGACAGTAAAGTGCCACTATCTTTATAGGCAGAGGATATGGTGGCATAATAAAGATTTTAAAGAAACAATGTAAAACTAAATCAAATGCAGGAATAATTCAGCAAGTTATGAGTATTTACAATTAACTAATAGTACTGGATAACCTTCATATGCATGGACACTGTCCAGTTACAATGATCAAGGAAATTATAGGATAAAGACACATTGTGTGGAACACACGAGAATTGTACAAGGGAATGCTTGTTCCTAATAAATATCTGATTCTAACATTGCAGAGATGAGGTTTTCTGTCCATCTCTAACTGAAAAACAGTAAATGACAATAAAAATACAGGACAGTTTTATCTGGCACTCTAAGGGTTAGCACTAGAATTCATAGAAACAGATACGCATCTCTATTTACATATAAATCCTCAGTATAAACTCATGTAATCAAACCAAGATTATTCCAAACAGCCCAAGACTAGAGCATGAAGTACAGAATCACACACCAGTGCACAGTTAATGACAGGAACTTGTAGGTATTGGTCACTGCAAATGGCAACCATGAAGCAAAGAGCTGGTGATAATTAGCTGTTTCAGAGCAGCTCCAGAGCCTCACAGCAGGGTACTACTCTTATGAAGTAAGGCTGTAGCTCTTTGGAGAAAAAGGGCTTGGCACGCATGAAGCACTCTCCCCATCCCTAACATGGAGAGCAGTCCACTTCCTGAAACAGCTGGTGGTAGATTGGGCCCAGGAGTTTTGTCTTCAAAATGTGGTGGGTGGATGTTTTGATTGATCTGGAGGACTCCTGAGGGAATGGCAGGGATGCTAGCCTCACTGGAATCAAGATGAGCCATCTCTTATCAGAACATGAGAGGATTATCAGCTTTCTCTCTTGTTCCAGAGTTTGCAGATGGACACTTAAGGAAGTCAAAGGGAGGTTCCTCCACCTGTGAAAGGGCTTTTTTTTTTTTTTCAATCAATCAATGGATCAACCAGTCAACCAATCTATCGATCAATAGATCAATCAACCAATCAATCCCCAAACCTTGCAGCAAACATTATGTTTAAGAAGAAATACTTAACTTTCTCTCCTCTAACCCTGGGGACAAGGTTAGAGGAATGTTCTGATAACTCTAAATCAGCATTGAACTGATGTCCTATCTAATGGTGTAAGAACAAGACAATGCAGTATCATGTATGAAGCCAGTCATGCTGGTGTCAGATCCAAAGGAGACTCTAATTTCCCAAACTCTAAATGGCTGTTCATGTGTCTAGATAAGAGCTCAAGCTGGACTATAGTATTTCTGGCAGTTAGATAAAACTCAGCTTTCCTCAGGAATTAGTGAAGTTGGTTCTGTTGAAAGGAGACTGGCTGTGGTGCCTATCAGCATATCAGAGCAAATCTCACTTCAGCATCACAAGTTCCTGTTATACATGTCTATGCTGGTGTCCTAGCCCTTCTATCCTTCTCCTCTACCCTAAACTCCCTCCAGTTCAGGGGACCCTCCCCACAGCTGCTCATCCTTCTTATAACTCAGCTCTCCACATAGCCTCACTGTCTTCTGCTCTGGCTTTTCTCACTATGCTTCTCTATTCTGTTTTCAGTTATTCTCTTCTCTCACAGACAGCCCTGGACACGTGCAGTCTATCTCTTTCTCTGACTGCTCTGACCTCTTCCAGATCACCTGTCTGTTCCGTCTCAGATCAACAATAGAAGCCTTCCTTCCCTTTAACCACACCATGGAGTGGTAATGTTTACGGTTTCTTTACTGTACCCCTCTGTATAGAGTGAGATCTTTAATCCCAGTTCTTGGAAGCCTGAGACAAAAGAATGGGATTTAGAAGCCATCATGGTCTTTACAGTGAGACCCTGTCACAAAAGAAAGAAAAACAATAAAAAAATGTATGCAATGTTCTTATGTCAATATCTATAAGACATTATTAAAGAATTACATTTCTCTGACTGTGTCTGTGTCTGTGTGTCTGTGTGTCTGTGTGTCTGTCTGTCTGTCTGTCTGTCTGTCTCTCTCTCTCTCTCTCTCTCTCTCTCTCTCTCAGCTGTGTGTGTGTGTGTGTGTGTGTGTGTGTGTGTGTGTGTGTGTGTGTTTGTTATGGTGTGCCTATGAAGGTCACAGGACAATTGTCAGGAGTGAGTTCTCTCCTCTAACCTTGTATGTTCTAGGCATCAAACTCACATTTGGTGACAAGTATCTTACATACTGAGCAGTCATGCTGGCCCTACAAGTCATTTTGGATTTTTTTTTCTAGAAGCTGGAAGAAGAAAAATAAGAGTCAATGTTTAGAGAGATCCATGGTATTGAAAGTTCAGTAGGAAATATATTACTTTTCAAGACACTGAATGGATTTATTGCTGCCACATCAAATACCTTAAAATATATTTTCATTAATTGATTAGCTTAGTCTAACAGTTATAACAAAGTCATTTGGAGAAAGAGCAGTTAAAATAGATGACAAGTAAAGATTACTGTTGGGCACCTTATTGACTGTAATGAAACCTTTTTGTAAAAACCTTTCATCAAGTTGAGGACCACTTTGATTTGGGATTTATTGGGAATTTTTACACTAATTAATATTTTTAGAATTTTGTCAAGTACTTTTTGTGCATCATTCACATGATTGTTATAGAAGCCCTTGTAATTGGGTTTGGTAATTGATCAATACTTAATAAAGGACTCCCATTTTGTTTTTAGGCCACACAATGATGACGACATTAATTGGTTTGTAGTCTGATTTCTAGTAATGTATTTGCTAGATTTTTGCATCAAATTCATGCTGACCTTAACTTCTACTGTTATTTGACAAAATTTCATATTGCATTGCTATGTGATATACAATAGTTATATATTGTGATGTTATATAATGTATATTTGTAAGCACCATCTTATCAGACATGATAAAATACAAATACTTAACCAAGGATAGAACCCTACCAGTGAACACTTGCACAAGAACTGACTTTCTGAAGATCCTAATTTTTGGTGCCCAGAAAGAATACAGCCTGTGAACACTTCATCTCTGCCTCTAATTAGAACCTCTGAGAAATCCACCGTAGGGGAACACAAACTTGGCAGCCATCTTCATGATAGCACCACCTCTAGGGATGGAACATCAATTTATTCACTCCCAACCATCCACGCTTGACCGAGAGAGTCACACCCCTAATTCCAAATGCTGTCTGTGAGGGGGAAAAGGCCCTTCCCTTCTCAGTTTCAAGTGTGGGTGTCTCAGTGCCCAGCCTCTGGCATGGCACCAGCAGAGACAGAACTAGCCTGAAGACATCTGACAGCAGTCAAGAGCACCCAGGTAAGGCGGCTGAAGGTGCAGCAGAGGGCACCTCCACAACAGGCAGACTCCCATGGACTTGAGCACACTGAATGACAGAGAAGGAACTTCATTCGGTAC